GCTATGAGTGGCAACAGACTGCGTCGCTGCTAAAGTTGTTGTGAAAGTTTGGCCCAGTTGGGGAATTTGGGTGCTGCAGATACCGTTGTTGCGTTACCACTGCATGCCCCGTTACTGTGTGCTCAACTGTTAGCCTTGGTCTCGCCCTTACTGCAGCAGTTGCCATGTTTACCAAGGGTAGCTGTGCTGCTAACTGTGTATAAAGGCTGCAGAGGACCGCTGCGGGCGCTACCCATCGCTATGCGTTAGGTTACCTGTTCTAACCGTGTTTTCTGTTGCGGCAGCGGTTGGTGAGTCTATGACGGACTGCTGCACTGCGTGAGTACGATTGATTGAGGCTGTGTGATTACTGCATTTCCGCCATGAGAAACGAAGTTGTGGTATAGGGAGGCGAAGTCCTTTGAAGTAGGGTTATTGATGCAACTCGGGGGATCATCAGGGGTTTGACTTCGGTAGTTGACTCAGTGTTGACCAAGCCGTTGCGCGCTTCTGGCTACCATTGCGGGGCCCTCAGGCGAGTCAGGATATCAAGGCCCTCTCCTGCGAGTCTGAGAGCACCTTTCCTGGATCTGAGAGTCTCACACCTTCCTCTTTCTATCTTTCAAAATCTAAGTCTAGTCTGTTGGTTACGAGGGGAAGGCGGCAGGCGGGATTGCAACCCGTAGGCCCGCATCAAGACTCTGTGGGAAGTCCACCCACCGATTGCGGGAGCTCTGCCGGAACCTAGGCGAGGTTCTGGAGTCAGGGAACTTTCAGGTATACTATTTTTTCATCTATATAACCCACTATCACCTATGTTTGTCTATCCCCCTGCAGTATGACTACTGTATGCATGCGATTGTCCCTATGGTTTTTGTTATCTCTTCAGGACTAATCAAACTGACTGGAAAGAATGTGTGAGAGTGAAGCCTAAGTTTCTACTTTGTTCTGTTTGAATGCAGACTAAGGATGAACTGGAGGAAGGTAGGAGGAAGGCAGACTGCTTGTGATTGACAGGTTCAACCAAAGCCTGAACATTGTTTCTATTGTGAATGGCTCAGGGCTATGTTTATTTGGCTGTTTTCTGAAGGACCAGGCATTGTTTCTACTGTGAATGGTTCAGTCCCCTTCTCATATTTGCCTTTTCTTTTGAGAACAAAGTCAGAGAAATAATAAATCTTTGGATATTAAACAGCTCAGGGCGACTAGGCATTGTTTCCATGATGAAATGGCCTAGACATATGCCCAAAAAGGAGAAAGAAGTAGTTGTGCAACCTGTTTGTGTATGTCTTAAAGGCAAGTTGGACATTGTTTCCATGGCGAATGGTCCAACTCTATGTCTTATGTAAGATGGGTATAAGGATTCAAGAACTTAAAGATTCATGAACTATCTAAATGGAATGAACTTGGGATGATGAGAGTACTTACATTTGTGGTTTGGTTTGCATGTGACTGGATGGGATGACTAGCTTTGTTTGGGTTTTAATTTTATAGGTAGTTGCTTCAGTTGCTCGCCACGTGCTAGAGCCATAGGAGTTAGTGTCAATTCATCCATTTTCTGTAATAACTTTTTTTACTAAGGTCAATTCCTGCATTTTCTGAGATCTTTTCTTATACTCGGCTTTGTATAAATCTTGGCAAGCTACTTTTCCTACGGGAAGCGCTGCCGAAATTTCTACAAAATCCAAAAAGTTAGTCAACTTTTGACTTGTAAAAGTTCAACTTGTCTTTTTCATATATCTGGCTTAGTTAAAATCTGGGAAGTCTCTTTTTCTAAAGAGGGAGTTAGACAAAAATTGAACTTTGGGAAGCCAAAGTTACTTTCAAAATTTGAACTTAGCCTTGTATAAATTTTGGAATAGCACCTTTCTAGAGGGAGTGCTGCCGAAATTTCTACAAAATTAAGGAGTTGGTTAAATTCAGTCTAAAGTTGAACTCGTGTTGTTGTTCGAGTTCATATCTGACTTAGTATAAATCTGGGAAGTCTCCCTTTCTAAAGGGAGTGCTGCCCAAATTTCTACTAATTCAGAGAGTTAGATAAAATTTGATTC